CAGCACAGAGCCCGACGCGGGGCTCGAACCCACGGACTGTGAGATCATGACCTGAGCCGAAGTCGGACGCTCAACCGACTGAGCCTCCCAGGCGCCCCCACCCCAAAGTTTATAAATTCACCCACTTCGCTAAGAGCTTATGCATGGCTTTAACTTAGTATAACCAATCCCTCTCATAACCTGCTCCTCTGTGCATTAATTTGAATACTTCCACAGTCAGCCCGAGCCCCAATATGTCTCCACACATGACTCTTCAAAGGATATCTGTGTTTTGGGTGGTGGGTTCGGCCCTGCAGCTGGCTCTGTGCTGACAGCTCGGAGCCTGGAACCTGCTTCGGATTCTGCGTTTCCCTCTCTCTCTCTGCCCCTCCCCCGCTCCCCCTTAAAAATTTTTTTTAAGTAATAAATGAACACTAAAAAAATTTAAGAGAAAGGAATCATGTTCCCTCGGGTAATGGGAAACATCTGTAAGCTGGAGTTCACATACCCCATTTTTCACCCACAAAGACTCCTAAAGTCGATTTATTTGCCAAAGTTAAAAAAGAAAACCGAAAAGACCAACTTGAGAACCCCTGGAACAGAAGTGTTACGAGTCCTAAAGCCGGTTTCAGAATGGCTGCCCTGCCATTCAGGTTTACTGACCTGCACTCTGGTTTCGGTCACATTCATGCAGCTTGCAAGTTCTCTTCTGCGGGGAGAAAACCACAAATGTTTAGTATTTGGAGCTGTGGATAAAGTGAAATGTACAGATATACTTTTTATGCTTGTTTTAAAACGTGTACCCTCCCCTCAAGAGCCCACCCCCCAAGTAAACTTTTCTGTAATTCCCAGTTCCAGGCTTGCTACGGTTTCCCCTCAAAATTTAAGGTAGCATTAACATCTTGGTAGTCACGATAAATAATTTTATTGCACTATTTAAAAAAAGAAAAATTCGGGGCTCCGGGGTGGCTCAGTTGGTTAGGCATCCGACTCTGGTTCAGGTCATGATCTCATGGTTTTTGGGTTCAAGCCCCGCATTGGACTCTGTGCTGACAGCTCAGAGCCTGGAACCTGCTTTGGATTCTGTGTCTCCCTCTCTCTCAGTTCCCTCCTCCACTCGCACTCTGTCTCTCTCTCAAAAATAAATAAACACTAAAAAATCTTTTAAATAAAAAATAAAAAATTAATGCAAACAAATATATGATCAACAAATTATCACAGTTTTATTTACTTATTTATTTATTTATTATTTTTTAAGTAAGCTCTATGCCCAATGTGGGGTTTGAACTCACAACCCCGAGATCAAGAGTCACATGCTCTGCTGACTGAGACAGCCAGGTGCCCCTCCAACTTTTTTAAATTTATTTAAAAAAATTTTAAGTAGGCTCTATGTCCTAAGTGGGGTTCAAAGTCTTGACCCTGAGATCAAGAGTCACACGCTCTTCTGACTGAGCCAGCCAGGTGACCCCCTCCCTCAAAATTTTATTTATTTATAAAAAGTTTTTAATGTTTATTATGATTTGTTTTTTGAGAGAGAGACAGACAGACAGAGAGTGAGCAGGGGACGGGCAGAGAGAGAAGAGGGAAACACCGAATCTGAAGCAGGCTCCTGGCTCTGAGCTGTCAGCACAGGGCCCGACGCCGGCCTCGAACTCACGAACCGCGAGATCACGACCTGAGCCGAAATCGGACGCTTAACCACCTAGCCAACCAGGCGCCCGCCCCAAAATTGTAAATGAAAGTATCCAGCCCTACAGCTAGCTGCAGGAGAGTACCTTATTCTCCTTAGCCTGATTCCAATAAAATTTTATTTACAAAAGGCTACCAACACAGACGATAAAAAAAATGTATAAATTATACTACATCAAAATTAAAAACTTCTGTAGACCAAAGTACAAAATCAATAAAGTGAGGGGTACCTGGCTGGCTCAGTCAGTTAAGTGCCTGACTCTTGATTTAGCCTCAGGTTATGATCTCATGGTTTGTGGGGTTGAGTCCCATGTCAGGCTCTGTGTTGAGTGTGGATTGTGCTTAGGATTCTCTCCCTCCCTCTTCCCCCTCTCCAACTAGCACATATGCACTCAGGTGCGTGTGGGCTCTCTCTCTCTCAAAATAAATTTTCAAACTTCAAAAAAAAATCAGTAGAGTGACAAGGCAACCCTTCAAATGGAGAAAATATGTGCAAATCATATATCTGATAAGGAGTTAACATCCACAATATATTAAGGACTACAACTCAATAAATAAACAAGCAACCGGTTAAGAACTGGGCAAAGGCCTTGGATAGACATTTCTCCAAAGATGATATTAAAATGGCCATGAAAAGATGCTCAACATCACTAATTAGTCATTAAGGAAATGCAAACCAAAACCACACTGCTACCTCATACCGTTAGAATGGATACTATAAAAAAAAAAAAAAAAAAA